GCGTGCGTGCGTGCGTGCGTGCGTGTGTGTGTTTGTATTGGCCTAAAGAATTAATTATTTTGTAATTTTATGAATTGTAAACATAAAATATTATATTAGTCATTAATATAATTTATAATGCATTCAGAGTTATATTAAAATGCGTGGAATTGAGTTTTTGATAGTCGAAAGTAAATACCAATTCGAAAAAATACTATTATAATATATAAACCAATTTTTTTTTTTTTTTTTTTTTTTTTTTTTTTTCTTTATTGACTTATGTCTTGATTGCAGTTTTTTTCTTGATAAATATAACATTTAATTCATATATTAGATAATGATTTTCTTCGAATATCAAGGAATATGGAAAGTCGTTTCAGGCTACGCTTCACTTTATTAAAGTAGGCTAAGTTAAACTGACTCATCGAATGTGTGTGTACGTGTTTAGTTAAGATTTTAATAAAAGTAAATGACGAGGATAATTATCGTTCATCATTCAACTTATTTTTATCGTTTAGGAACACAAAATTCACTACAGTATTAAAGCCTTTGAAATAAAAAGCAACGCTTTAAAAAGTTAAGTGAATTGCTGATCTTCCGGTGATAATAATTCCCAATGGAATTATTGCATGGATCCTGTCACTGCCTTCTAATGCCTCTTTGTCTACATTAGTGCTTTTTAAAATAAGATAGTGTAGCACTTTATTTCATAACAATATTACGTAAATTTTACTGTAAAATATTTTCATATTTCTTAATTCTTTGTTGTTTTACTTGTACATTTGGATATATTATCATTTTTGTACGAATTAATATTTTATAACATACATATCAATGCCACTTGTTTGTATTAGGCATTATTATTTATTTATTATAAAATAAATTAATTAGTTAGATAGCAATGAAAGAATTTAAGGAGTAATGCTAATCTGTGCAAGCACGATGATTATGAAATTAATAAATAATTGTACAAAAGTTAATTGTAATTTATTTTATACGTTTTATTAATAAAGAATTAATGTGGTTGTACTATATAAAGTAAATTTTTTTTTTTTTTTTTTTTTTTTTTTTTTTTTTTAAATTATTTGACATTATTTTCAAGATATGTCGGATTCTTATAGTAATAAGGCAATTTAATACATATCTTACAGGTTATATGCATTATACATTGACAATATGTAAACACATATAAATAAAATGTAGACCTCTAAGGAATATTTATTATTTATTATTATAAGTATAATATGCGTAGGCAATGCGATGTCATGAAAAATAAAATGAAAAGTAAAAATATTACTGAAATAGTGTAAAGAAGTAATTGATAAATATAAAGTTACGGAATTACGATTTTCGTGAAATAAATGTAAAATTAATAATAAAAAATCACATCCAAAAATTACCTCATACATGCATATAAATAGTAATTAATAAACCTTGAATTAATTGAAAAATTTTCATCATTAATATGGCGCAAAGAAACATTAATTTTTAACAAACAAAGAAATTTTAAGAGTCGCGTGGTAAGGCACAGTGTTACTTAAGTATTCGTGAAATTGGAGTAAAACTTTGACAATTGTCTATTTATTAAATAATAAAAGAAAATTGTCCCCATGCATTCATTTCGACAAGTTGTTGCTTCCGTAAAGAGAAATTATATCCAGTCAGTTTTTTTTTTTTTTTTTTTTTTTTTTTTTTTTTTTTCTATACAGCGACTTTTGTGTGGCCCTAAAACCGGCTTTCGTACCGGGAAAAATTTCACAGATTTACCCAATCATTATTGTTTCCGAAGGACACTGGAATACAAACAAAAGCACATTATCTCTCAATTACAGTGTGCATATTATTCAATCAACGTCGTATCCAAGGGTACTCGAGGGCCGACGACGTTCCACTCACTCAACAATCAAGCACTACAAAACACTTCATACGCTTCTTCTACGCGTAATTCAATCTTATAACTGCGAGCATAATGAGCATTGAGTAACCAATGATTAATAAGTATTTCTACTATTGGTCATTTTTACTAACAACAAGGCCAAACCTATCTAGACATCAAGATAAATTCGTCGAGTATTAACTCGACTATTAATCTATTAACATAATCAATATAATTTACCTAAAACATAAACATGAGTTTATTTTAGTTTTTACATTCTTCAACGTGTAAATTTGTATTAACCGTAAAACTCCTTCAGGTGTTGAAGACGTCAAGTGTATAATGTGTATAATGCGTGTCCAATGTGTATTAGTGTGTGCTGTTACGTTAACGTGCACGAACATTACAACAGCTATGAGTGACAATTTTTCTATACAATAATTTTAAATGCGTTTCTTCTATTTATCTAATTGGTACAGATATTGTCAAAACTTTAAGGCAAACTTAAATAATTTAACATGAATGTTAATTAAAATTCATATTATTGCAATGCAATGTTATGTGAACGTAACATAAATCAATAATAATAATAATAATAATAATAATAATAGTAATAATAATGATAATGATAATGATAATGATAATAATGATAATAATGATAATAATAATAATAAGTTAGATATCCTCTTGAATTTTCTAACTATTTTATATTAAAAATATCGTTGCATCAATTGTACAATAATTCATTTGATTACGCTTTGATACGTACGACTTGATCGACGTATTGATTCTTAAAAGAGATTCAATGATCCAGCAATATTCGTCATAACTCTTCAACTTAATCGACAAGAAATTATTTATAATCGTGTGACTGTATTTACATGTAAATTTTCTTCATTAACTTTTACTATATTCGCCCGTAAAGCCCACGGATAACAAAGTTTATCCATTTAATGGATTATTTTGTAATATGTTGTAATTGTATATTTTCAATTCGAAAATATTTTACAAACAGTATATTTGATTTTGATTATAACAAATGTTTTTTACAGTATTAATGTCAGACCGGCGATTAATTTTTATTACGAAGTTCCATACTTCGGCATCCCACATTATTCGATCGAAAAATCAATGTGTTGTGAATCAAGACGTTGTGAATTGCATTTTCCGAGTTTGGAGTAAGTTTTTTCTTTTTACGCCTCGACCACGAAAATAAATGACATCTTTTAGACGTATTTAATACAATTGTCAAGCATTTTCGATGAAATTTGCCTTAATTGATTATATAGATGGGAATATCGCAATGTCCAGCCAAGTTCTTGCGATATTTAACTATTTAATGTATAATCAAGTGAAAAAATTTTGACGGAAACATATCCTTCGCAGTTTGCCGAGTGGACGTAATTTTTTACATGACTTGTTACTTTGCGCTGCTTGAACTTTCTATTCTCACCATGATTTGTCACCATCGCCATCGCCATCGCCATCGTGTACGTATAGATTTTCCATACGTTATAAAAAAAAAAAAAAAAAACGATTCAACCACTTTCTTTCATTAGTCGTTGTTATTAATTGTTGGTTCAGATTCTGATAGATTTCAATATAAAGTGCAATTCGCAAGAAAATTTTACTCAATTAATTAAATTATTTTATACTGTAGTTCTCGATTTTTCTCTTCATAGTCTTGATTCTCAATCATCTTTTTTCTATTGAAACCTTTTTAAAATCTTTAATCATTTAATTGGTTAATATAATTCTTGTTTTTTTTTGTTTTTTTTTTTTTTTTTTTTTTTTTTTTTTTTTCAACGAAGTAATTCTTTCAGCCATTTATTAACAATTGCCATTCCCGACGCCAATAAATTATCTCCTTATCAAGAAGAATAAAACTATTGATAATCTAGCAATACTGGATGATTGATTAGCTCACCTACAAAATCTCACATCAAATCCATTGTACGTATTATAATAATAATATTATTGTTTGATAGATCCGTTTCATCTCTTATAGATTCGTTGACTTCTCTACGAATGAGAATTATTTATTTATATTTTAGTATTTCAAAAAATAATATCGTGATTTATATTATCTGTTCATAGGATTAGAATAGATTGTACTTCGATAATAATGCCTCACTGATTTAGAGTTTCATTATCATTACTTTTTAAGAGAGAGTTTATCACTTTGTTTCTTATATATAGAATTGTTATTATTTATATTATAAAATTAAATGATCTCGCGACATTTAATATACTCATCGCACAGCTTCTGGTGTACGTTGTAGGTAGTGGAATAAGTTGTGCTTAACACAATGTAACGGATTGGATGTCTCGCCAATCATTCTCTCGTGGAATTCAAGATTTATTAAATGTTCGCATAGAGTATTCACATTAAAAGCCCATTCAATGTAAATTCACACGGACGAATTCGCCACGGACGGAATCTGGTAGATGGATCATGTTGATTTTCAAACCATAAAAATGATTTATGGCCGATAATTGGCGTAAATCTTCTCCGTAAATGTGTGACTTAAGCTACTCCACGTCAAAATTCATGGTGGGGAAAAAATTTTTTTTTTTTTTTTTTTTTTTTTTTTTTTTTCTCCAGTAATGGAATGTTCTATCATTACTAGAATGATTATAATAGAAAGTGCACGGTATTTTGATAATAGATAAATTCTCTTTAATAAGATATTGATTGAATATAATTCTAACGGCAAATGAAAGGCTTTCAATGATACCGATAAATATTACAATTTCCGTATCGAAGAAGAACAGAAGCTTTATTAAAACTCTTTTTATTATCTGAAAAGTTGTAAAATGTGAAATATTTATATATGACAAAAAGACTGGATTATCGTTCCCTTGTCATTGCAGTGGCATTAATTTATTAAATTAACGGAATGTTTAATAAATAATTAAAGAAAGTACAAATAACTATGCAGGTCTTCGATAAATTATTCAATCGATTATAAAATAATAGCCCGATGTACATAGAATGACTATAGATCAGTCTTATTACAGTTTTATATAATTAATATCTAAGGAAAGAAGGCTTTGTTTATTAATGTTAGAATGTAATAAAAGAAATAATTTAGGTATTTGGGCGATCATAATAAAGATATATTACGTTGTTATTTCCATGCAATTTTATTGATCGTAAATTCCTCATTGAAACATATTTCACAAGATTAAAAACACAATTGCTTGATATTTTTAGTTATACAAATATATATTTTGTTTGAAATAATGTTGAAATTATTTCATTTACATACTCCCATTCGTTACAACATAAAACTTGTTAAGAAACATTTATTATAATAGATTTAACTTTCGTTTTGTTTATAAAAGTTTACACTTTTATTGGTTCAACGATAACGTAATTATAAATATAATTATAAAAATATACATAATACGCAAATCAAATTAATGATAATGAATAATAAATTTTTATAATTACTCTATGTATATATATATATATATATATATATATATATATATAAATGAAAGATATTAGGAATTGAATTTACATGGTCAATCAATGAAATTTAACATGATAATGCATAAATTAAAAAAATTTTTTTTTTTTTTTTTTTATTACGAATATTGAATATAATTATTATTCGATAACAAAAATATCTGTATTTATTTTATTACATCTTTATAGTTATTTTGATAAATATTAGCTTGATATTATAAGTTTCAGTGATTATTATTATTTTTTTATGTATTTTAATTATTTTAATTATTTATCTGGCAGTTATAGTCACTTGATTTTAAAACAATATCTTACTTATGTATAGACTATGTTTTATGAAATTTCTCGTAGACCGTTAGATTAGAATGGATTATATGAACATTTAAAGGATGTTTTATTCATTAGAAAGAACTCGTTTAAGAAAGCACACGAGTCACGGCGAGTAAGAATTATATAATAAAGTCTGTTATGATCTGTTCTTTGCAAAAGTCGAGAGAAGACGACTTTTCTGAATGGCGAAAGAATAATTTTTTTTTACCGCGGTGTTTGTCTACAATACGTCGATGCTATTTCGATGAATTTTCTTGAATGTTAAAGGACTGATAAATTTGAAGATTTGGAACCACGGGAGAATAGAGTTTCATTCGACAAACAATGATAAGAGAATATTCTTTTTTGGCATCTTATTTGGTAATTGGAAATTTGAGAAATAGAGAAACAGACGCTAGTTAAATAGGCAAAAGGTCTCCGGGGCTAGTACCGTCATCAGGTAAATGGGCATACGCTACTTAAAATACGTGCTGGCCCTTCCTGGAACGCAGGATTTGCACGTTGAACGTTGAACTGTAAGGACCAACTTAGGACTACCCAAGGATTTTCAAGAGTAAATGCAACTCGATCGTTTATTGCCCCCTACCAACTCTAAATCTGATTATACGAACTCTTACTTGCGAGTTTCAAGTCCCTTCTCTCTCCTCCTCACTCACTCTCTCTCACTCTCTCTCTCTCTCTCTCTCTCTCTCTCCTCCTCTCACCCCCCCCACCCTGCCCCACCCCCTGCCTACCATCATCATCCCGTCAAACTTTACAATGTCTATTGTAGTGTCGTTATTTGGACGATCGAGGCAATTGTCCATTAAATTTATTATTAGGGATTAAGGTACCTTTATGAGAGCCATTGAATCACCTCGAGCATCTTCGTCGTATTTATTATAATAATAGCAGCTAGAAAGCTGCTCGTAACTGCATCGTGAGTCATACATCAAAAGCTTAAACACGTGACAGTTTGAAATTCGAGCGCGCAAAATCAAATAATCCGCCATATTTTTTTTTCACTAGGTATTTTACTAGTGCGGATGAGCCATTCCGCAATGCCGCGTAAAAACAAACTTTAGGTTAGAATATTGTTTATTTGCACCTTAGTGTAGGCATAATTTTTTATTTAGGCCTAATAATGAATAGCGAGTTCCCTGATATTGATGATGAATTCGATTTATTGCATGAGGATGAATATGAAGTTTTACGAGAATTAGAAGGTAATGTTCTCTACTTCAAACGCTAACAAATTCATAGATTTGTATTTTCAATCAAATCATTTATTTATTTATTTCTTTTCTTTTAAATACATTGTTTGTAATTGTTAAGACATTGTTAACATTTTATAATTTTGATGAATTATGCGTTTAAAATAAGCCGATGAAACGCAAAGAACATGCACGAACAATGACTTTGCTCAAAAACAACAAGAAAAACCAAATGGCATAAGTCAACGGAATGTCAACGCTGAGGAAACTGCAGTTGAATCTTCGATCGAAAATCACAATAAAGAATTGCAAGCATTATTCACAATAGAAAATAAGCAAAGTCAATTAAGTTTGCCCGTCGAAACAACTAGAAAGAGACCGATAGATCAGATTTCACAAAACTTGGCGATAGAATCATGTGATAATATGAATTTTGAAGAATTTGGTACGTAAGATAATAGTAATTGTTAAAAAAAAGATAAATACGCCTTGCGTATTGTAATTTTATAATTTTTTTTAAATAAATTTCAAGCGCAAGAGAAGAAAAGACCTTGCTGGGATCAGCCGGAAGAACTTATGAAACTGATACTTGATAAAAGAAAAATCATTTACAATAATGGCTTGAAAGATGATCGTAAAGCATCTGTTTCCGTAAAAACGTAAGGTATTCTTATTACAATTTTTTTAGTTCAAAGTGTTATCAACTAAATTGTGTTTCTTTACTTTATCTTCAAAGCCAGACAAATTCCATAAGTAGAAAAGTCCCTTTGACGGACTTTGTGGCTGTTACACGCAGCGAAGATGGAGAACGCTTTTATATCAAAGTGTCGGAGAGGAGCTCGTACAAGCCACAAAATTATCGGACTACGTCGAATCTTTTATCTAAACCCATTCAGCAATTAAAAGACGAAGCCGAAGAAATTGTAAATATCGTTAATTTATAATCACCGATTAAATATTGTATATTATCTCTATCTCTCTCTCTCTCTCTCTCTCTCTCTCGCTTGCAGTCATTAAGGAATCTTGAAAAAAAGAATCTTGCACCTCTCGAACACGTTAATAATGAAAATGTGAGTACTGATTTATGGGTCGATAAGTATCGACCCAAACGATACATTGATCTATTATCAGATGAGAATGTAAACCGATCTTTACTTTATTGGTTGAAACTCTGGGACAAAATTGTATTCGACAGAGATCCCACTGTACGTTCTAGAAAGCCACAAATGCAATCAAAATTTAAAAATAAATTTAAAAAGAAAGTAGAAGATGTTCCTGATCATGACAGTAATGGCTTTCCAACCCAAAAGATAGCGTTACTTACCGGCCCTCCAGGATTAGGTAAGACTACACTTGCCCATGTAGCCGCAAGACATGCAGGATACAATATTGTAGAAATAAATGCTAGCGACGATAGAGGACCCGAAGCTTTCAGGTAACTAATTGCAATAAATATCTTTTAAATTTGTTAATTTTTTACCGCACATTTGTATTAATAGGGTAGCGTTATTGTCATCGACACAAATGAAAGCATTGATAGACAAGGAAAAGCGGCCTAATTGTCTTATTTTAGATGAAATTGATGGTGCTCCGACAGCTTCTATAGAACTACTCTTAAAATTTATTTATGGCAAATTGTCTCCTAAAGGAAGACAACCACAAGCTACGAGTCAAAAAGAAAATAACGGATGTCGTAGACCGGTGATTTGCATATGTAATGATCTTTACACACCATCGTTAAGGTACTTTCTTTACATTTATCAATATATAGCAATTTTTAAATGTATTATGATATATACATGATAAAATTAATGAATACGCATGATGAAATATTTAAAAGTCATTTATTAATTATTAATTCAAATTTGATGCCTTTTGATTTTCCTATTTACGATAGCTTCATGACACGGCAAACTAAATACTTTTTCTAAATCCAAACGAAGTACGTAAACTTATTTTAAAACATCCACAGCCTTCTATAAATATTATTCAGGATTCGTGTTAAATTATCAAATCTAAATAGGAACTGACTTTCGCCAATTACAACGAGAGGGATTCTTACATTTAAATACCTAAATAAGTTACTTCTAGTCATTTGAGTATTTTATTATTAATTTTTAGATTTTTCATATTAAAAATATCTATAGGATTTATATTATATTTAATAAATTTGTTAATGAACTCCTTATTCGCTACAATATCCATATTTTCCTAATTACTTTGTGAATTGTTAATATCTCGGTATTTTTTATTTTTTACATTTAATATTGATAATTGCTTATGAATATATGAAATATAATTATTTATAATAATATTTTTGAAAAATTTACCTTTAATTGGATTTGTTTAAATACTTTCAATACTCGCTTCAATATTGCTAAATGAAAATATTAATATAAAATCGAAAGCCCAACTCTACGTATATTTTTTCTATAATTTTATTTTACAATTTCATTAATGATAATTCAATAGAAATCAAATTTGTAGTACTGACGAAGGATATGACCATACAATTTTTAACTAGAAATTGATAAATGATTTCTTAATTAATGCATGTACATAATATACATATATATTTATTTAATTATTATATAATTTAAATATTCAAAAAATAATAGATAACGAGAAGGAGAAAAAAAGAAAGAATAGAATGCAGCGATGAGATATAATACGTCTATAGTCATATTTTGTAAAAAATATTTTCATAAAATGTCAATGTATATATAATATGCATCGTTTTCAAGACCTTCAGAAGCAGATTTAATAGTATATTTTTAGTACGCTTTTTTAACTATATTCTATATATATTTTTTACTATATTGAATATAAATAATTTTTGTTATCTCTTTCGATAAGTTATAAAGTTTGTCATTTTTCTTAATATGATCGTGTCTCAAATTAATAGAAATATTAAATTAATAATAATATACAATACAAGGCTTATCATTTCAAAGCTACGTATTCAAAGCTCGAATTTACTAACGCATTGTTAATAACAATAGCCATTGTTTTTTTTATTTTGTAATTATATTGTATAGTCGTGATTATTGAATGAAAGTGCATGGCTGTGAATAATTGACATATTATTAAAATATTAAATTTTGTACTAAATTTTCAATCGATATCGTTCCTACTTAGATATAAAAAAATTTGAGTTTTTTGTTAGGAGTGAGGAAAGAGATAAAATTCGCTAAAAATAAATTTTAAGATATACGTAGAAGAGAAATATGAATGTAAATATAATTATATGAAGGCATTTACATTGCTTTGAATCAAAATTCAGTATTTGGGAAAATTTATATTTTAAAAATTGCATTATCACCTCTCTGTACGTTTAATACATCGCTTACAAACAAAAGAGAAGACATATTACACTGAGAATTAAAATTTGTAAATTTTTGAAGAAAGCGAATGAATTATATTTATAACAATGGCGATAAGTGAATGTAGATTGAATGTAATATTGCACTGCGAATGATAGAATTTCATTTGTAACTTAATAGATAATAAATAACACATTCAGTTGTACTTTATTATACATAGTGCGAAAATTTATATTTCGGTATTTACATTATTTGATTTATATAAGCAAATAGCTTTATTACACATCGATGTATTAAATGAAATATATTTGTTGTAGGTCTCTTAGGAACATAGCCTTAGTTATAAATGTGCCAGAAGTTACTTCATCCACTTTAGCTGCTCGATTATACGAAATAGCGTATAAAGAAGGATTAAATATAGATTTGCGAATTTTAATGCAATTGGCGGAAAAATCAGGTTGCGACATTAGAGCTTGTCTTGGAATATTGCAGTACAGTGGTGGAGCGCCCAATATATTGCAAAATATTGCATTTGGTTTGAAAGATACGAGGAAGGGACTTTTTGACGCGTGGAAAGAAATATTTCAAATACCCATTGATAGGAAAGGCGCTCTCAGTGGCTCCGAAAGGACTCGGAAGATCCTAAAGATCCTCCAACAAAGTAAAATCCCACGCGATTATATAACGAATAACGATTAACGAATAATACATTGATTTGAATGAGATTGATTAAAACGGAGAATAATTCTTCGTCCCAGGTGAACCAGATCGTCTCGTCCAAGGAATATTTCACAATTACCCCCTTAACTGCAAAAACAATATCGTCGTCATTTATAAGTCACTGGAGTGGTTTCAATTCTATGACGAAGTCAACACATTCATAGCCAATCGACAAAGTTGGATGCTCACGCCTTACACGAGTTCGGCTTTCGTTGCCTGGCACCTGCACCTTGCCGGTTTTCACAGTTCGAAAATAACGTTCCCCACCATCCCCTTCGAGGTAAGTTCGCGATCATTTCGTTTGACTGGCCGCTGCGACGGAACAAATTCTACGCCTCGAGATAATTCATACGATAATTCATATCCGTAAGAAACGGGCGCAGTTTTGCGAGTCGTTGCCCGCAGAGATATTTATCTCTGTTGCTCCTAGTAATAATGATAATGGACTTTTGTCCGTTTGTCTCCTTTCTCTCTACCCGCTCACTCTATCTATCTGTCTGTCTGCCTGTCTGTCTGTCTCGTCTCGTCTCGTCTCTCTCTCTCTCTCTCTCTCTCTCTCTCTCTCTCTCCCCCACTCTCTCCGCCTCCCTCCCACTCTCAACAGTTCTCGCTTTGTTAGCAACGAGGTGTCCGGCCTCGCCTCTGGCTTTTTGATTTATCCCTGGCTAATTAGAAAGGCTAATAATTAATGCTGGTGCGCATTGTGCTAATTATCAGGGGAGAGCCTTTTAAGAAATGAGAGAATATTCGAAATAAAACGAAGCGCAGCCGAGCGAGTGCCCCGGTCGAGTCTAAGTGCGCGCGCCGCCGATGCGCGCTACGATTATGCCGTTGAAGGCGCGAGGAGCGAAATCTGCGTGCGCTGCGCTAAGGTCAGCGCAGTAGCCCCGACCGGCTATTCGTCAGCCTGTTTTTGTCGCCCTAATGACTACCTAAATTATTCAAACTCGAGGAGTCCTCCCCCGGGTCAATGGTCGTCCCTTCCTGCGTACTCCCGTCCCTCCCTGATCCCTCGCTCATCCCCTCGCTAACCCCATCCTGGCGCCTCCCTTGTTCCTTTCTCTAGCCCCGTCGTGGGAAGGGGGTGGGGGATTAAACAAAAAAGCAAAAAAAAAAACAAAAAAAACAAAACAAAACAAAAATCTGATGGCTTTACTTGATGGAATACGCCCATACCCGATCTCAATGGACTCGCGGCAGTTTTTCCTTTGCTTGATTTGCTTGATCCAACTTCCACCGTATATTTATATTGTTTTGTCTAATTAATTTCTTTGCTTAATCGCGCTTCCGAACGTTATTCCGATATTTCCGCGCGATTGCTCATTTATAAACTTAGCAGAATGTTATGATTGATAATAGGTGCATGAAACGTTTACGGTAAGCGATAATATTTCCGGAAGCGAGGGACTATAATTATTATTTGTTGCAAGAGAATTTATTAAAGCTTATACCCAAGTTTATCATACTGTATAATAAATCCCTCGATTAGGCAACATTTGTTAAGGTGGAAAATAATGAAATACCCAAGAGCACAGAGACTCGGAACATGTAGTCGCTATAAATTTTACGATAAAGTTGGTCAAAACTTGAATAGAGAAGTTATAATAAAACAGTTTGCCACAGCGGAATTCTTGAAATGTTTATGCACGCATCCACACGACTGTTTTATAGTCGAAATTCAAAAGCCTTTTGAGTAATTAATTATTATTTTACTTTGCAAACTAAATTTAACGTCATATGTTTATTATGGTTTCTTTTTGTTATTATTGATAGTGTTTGTTGCGTGCTTAAACGATTGAACGATTGAACGATTGAACGATTGAACGATTAACCTCGTTAAAGTGTCAGGATTAAGTTGTAAAAAGGGAAGTTTTATAAGTACGAACTATAAATTAAATGTCTTTACTTATGTACTTCAATTTATGTACATGAATATTTAATATGGTGCAGTTACATCTACTACGCAATACATATTATCGCATATTTGCCAAGAGTTTATAGTAAATTTTTTGTTTTTTTTTTTTTTTTTTTTTTTTTTTTTTTTTTTTAAGAAATTCCATATGCTAGTAATTTCTTATCCAGGTTGGTCGAACATTGCAGACTTTGCTACTTTTACTTTTATTTTTGACCTACTTGTCATAATAACTTGGAGAATTTTCAACAAGCTATCATATTTCTCATTTCATCATTGATATTATTCACTATTATAATGCAAAAATTGGGAAAAATCTAATGTCCGATTAATTTTCAGCATTGTCGAGGAAGTTAAGAATTCTTTTCACTGAAATTCAAATGTCTTTAAATTGTTTATCTGCTTTTTTTCTCTCAACAAATTCTTTCACTGCATTCATTTTGAATGCATCATTACGAAATGAAAATGCATTTCAACGTGCAATATGAAATTGTCGACTGCGAATTTGGTTAGAAGAGAAAACTTTATGCAGCTCTTAAGCAAATAACGCGACGGATTATATCGTGATTAGATGCCGCTATACTTGGATGACTAAACACTTCTCTGCCAAATCCATGTTATATAATCTCTTAAACCTTTATAATAAACTAATAATACATTTCAAATTCAATGTAAAGTATATTGTATATCTTTAACATAAAAACAGAACAAAAAAAAAAAAAACAACTAATTTTTTAAGGAATTGCGCGAGTCATCGAACAAAGTAATTTCAACTTTCCAAAAACTCATAATTGTACGGTTCGAAGCTAAATTAATCGTATAAAAAAAATTTCATGATGATTTAATCGTTAGTATTATAATATTAATATAATAATGCCAAACTTAACATATAATTGTTCTAAGAATTTTCATTCAATCGTTATTTAGCATTAAAAAAAATATATTGCACAAGAGTAACGAACATAATTGTATTATCCGTTAAAAATGTTTTATAAATATGTTTTAAGCATAGCTTGCCGGTAAGCAATTTAACTCTTTCCTAAAGGCATCATCTGGCAAATCTTAAATTTATCAGAGATTACTAATCTTTTATATGATTGTTCAGGGTGAGATACAAGCGCCATATAAATCGTCATTTCGCTGACATTTGTATCTGGTCTGAGTAAACACCTGCGCACGCGTAAAACAATATCTTTATTACTCGTAATATCATCTTTGTCTTTGTAATTTACCAAGTCTGTCGGATATTTTGTAATTATTCATTTCCCTTGATTATAACAATTATTTTAAAAGGCTAAGAAACATGAATACATGTATCCATGTATCCATGTTCCCAACAGTTTTTCAAATACCTTCCTTTCATCTAATACATTCTTTTTTTTTTTTTTTTTTTTTTTTTTTTTTTTTTTTTAGGTGAATCAAAAAATCGAGAGGAACGAAGCGATCCTCTCAATAATGAAGAAGACCTCTAAAATCGATAAATTAACGCTTGTATCGGAAGTGTTGCCATATTTACCAGACTTATTGTCTCCTCGGTTGCGTTCCGTGAACGCTCAGCTATATTCTGAAAAGGAAAAGCACGAGCTCGGTAGATTGGTAAATTTGATGATCGATTTTGGACTGACGTATACGCAGGAAAAGAAAGCCGAAGGCGGATACGATTATTATTTAGATCCGTAAGTAAATTCTTTATGATTTTAAAAAGGCATTTTATACGGCAAATGAGCTATGATAAAGAATGTAGTAGAATATCGTTAAATTTGCAGGAACATTTGGAATATTGGTGCTTTTCCGGATTGTAAGGCACGAAAACCCTTGCCTTACGCAGTCAAACAAATAGTCATTCAAGAATTAGAAAATACAAGGTTACAGAATATCATGGTCAAATGTGACGAAATAGTTGAAAATACTTGCAAATCGACATCGACAACGTTCCAGAGTAAAAATAATTCTATATTAAAAGCCAAAGCAGTAGATGCGAAAGGAGATAAAAATATTCCAAATCATTTGAAGCAATTGAACCCAGTAGAACTGAAAGCGGCCGATCAGTCGGTGAGCAATTAATTTTATTTACTACCTTTCCTAATTTCTGCTTTTGTATTGTTTCTTTAAAACTCGATGTACATTATAACAATGCAATGATAATCCGAATATTGAATTTATCCTAAATATTCACAATTATTATGCTGTCTTGTTTGTTATATGCACTACTCTAATATTATAATTTATATTACGTATTGTGAAATGTTGAATTGTGTGATTAAATTATATAGTAAAACGTTATATATATATATATATATATATATATATTCAGAGGTAAAGAAAAACATTAAAAAAGAGTTATCTACGTGGATTATTGTCGAATAATACAATACGGAAGTTGAATTACGCATTTGCCTATAATATTAATATTAGAATTAAAATACTAAAAAACTAAGCATTGAAAGCATTGCGATAAATTTTTTTGAAGAAAATTTATAATATTATCAAAAATTGTAAGGTAAAAAAATCTTGCATCCTTTATTATTTATAAACATGGATTATTATCTGTAAATTATTACACGATAAATAAATATTAACTTTTAATGAAAAGATATTACCTCGAAAACATTACGATATTCAATCAACAATTAATAATACACTCAAGATAAAGAAATTGTTTTATAATAATAAATTAATCATTTGTTATCGATCAATTGAAACGCATCGAAACTTTAACCGATATATATAAATATATATATATATTTTTTTTTTTTTTTTTTTTTTTTTTTTTTTTTTTTTTTGGCAGCCTCAAATTATTTACATCAATTAAGGAAGTTTATTCGATTAAAGGAAGAAGAATAAGATAAAAATTAACACATAAAATATCGCCTTTATTAATTTAATCTCTTATTTTATGTATCATATATTTTTTAAAAAAGAAAATCGTATAATTATAAATAGAGACGGCTTTGAAAGAAGTCACTTTTTGTAATAAAAATAAAAAAAAATGTCAAAATTCAAGTAAACTTTTGTCATGATGGTTGAATTTGCACTTAATTGTAAAAACAATGGCAGCCAATTTTAATTAATCTTAAAGTCAATTTTCATTATTCACCCTTTTAAGATTTTCAAAAGCTGAGTTGCTCGCACCAGATTATAATGTAACTCAAACAAGCATATTATTTCTTCTTTCGATCCCTCTCGAAAGATCTCTCGATCTTTGTAAAAGTGAACATTTTAAAAAGCTTTTGAATAAGATAATGATTTGTTCTTGGTTACAAGCCTCAGATTTATTTGGCATAAAGAACATTTTCTATATGTTGATTGATTATCACGATAATTATTTCGGTATATATTTTTTATTTAAACTAAGATCAATAGTCTTGATAGTATTGTTAAAGAATAACATTTTCATAGTTAAAAATTTTGAAATCTATTTATGCTTTGGTTCAAAAATTCAAAAATATATATATATTATTTTCATCCCAAAAATATAAATATAAATAAGCTTATGCTAATATTGTAAAAAAAAAAAAAAAAAAAAAAAAAAAAAAAAAAAAAAAAAATTTTAGAAAATCACTGAAAAAATTAGACTTACATTTTAATTAAAAGATATTCGGTTGAAAAATTTATTATATATTTCATACAAAAAGCATTTTATCTTGAAAACTAAATTATGAAATATAAATAGTATTTATAAGAAATGCAGTTATCATAATGTAAGCATGAAATATTATATTTGAATTGTACTTTCGTATTCTTTTTTAATCTAATATAAAATCTCTTTCTTGTCTTAATAGATTAAAATTTTCTCTTAAAATTATTAAGATTAAAATTGAATATTATATGTAACTTAAATTGTATATATAGTATTTAAGAGTTCATTTATCAAATTTATTGATAATAAATTTTATATTTTTTATATTTTTTTATATTTATTTATTTTATTTTATTATTGTTATTATTATTGTTGTTATTATTGTTATTGTTATTGTTATTGTTATTGTTATTATTATTATTATTATTATTATTATTATTATTATTGTTATTATTTTATTTTATTTTATTTTATTTATTTTTTTTTTTTTTTTAAATCAATATCTTATAATTTTATAGTATTTATATACGTATATACAATTATACGATTGACAGTTAAATAATTTGATTTACATAGTTCTCACGATAGTCACTATTAATTAATTATTTATTAAGAACTAGTGATAAGGTTATTGTTCGTATAATCCCTAAAATTATTATAATGGGACTATTAAAACATAACGCTACCTAATAATGTACTTTTCAAAAGTAATTTCTTTTTAATTTAATTGTTTATTTATTATTATTATTCATCGTATTATATATTTACATATTTTATTATATCTCTAAATTTATAAATGGCTTTAACTATAAACTATCACAACGGTGTTGCTGTAATAAAATATTTACCTATCAAGAATTACGCACTTTCTTCCATTTCCCTCGAAAATACTCATTTTACATTTGTAATAGAAAATTTGCAATTTTTATTACATTATTTTAATCACTTGCATTTAATATTATACAAGTTTTTAATATCTATAATATATTCATCAAAAGGAATTCTTTTATTTTTACTTATAAATTTTTCTTCCTACTGCAAAAATTAAATTGAATAAGAGAGCAGATTAAGCGTACTTTGTTTTAATCCACCGTGAATTTGAAACTGTTCTTATAACTTATTTCCTACCCGTAGTCTGTCGTGATTACTTTTAAAGTCTATTCGTATTAATCTAATAGCTATTTTATGTTAATTATAATTCTCCTTTTATTCGGAATATTAGTCGATTGCTTTTAATAATTACTCCCAAGCTGTATGCTTGTTGATCATAAACATATGAATTATTTTCATGGATCACCTAATTAATTAAGAAATTCTATTAAAGTTAATTCAATTTCAATATTACTCGTCAAACTAAATAAATGTACTTTTTGCACTTACGATATAAGACAAAAATACATCAATCATAAATTCAGCCATTCGGCTTACTTATAAATCTATAGACATCATCATAATAATTTCAAACGTTTTTTTTTTTTTTTTTTTTTTTTTTTTTTTTTTTTTTCAACTATTTCTATATCAATTAGGGTCATGATATAATGATCTTTGTTTTGCGAGGTTAATGTGAGTAAAATACTTCAAAATATTTAATCATGAATGCGATATAATTAATATTATTATAGAATAAACAAATTTTGTTTTTTTTTTAACTATTTAAAATTTTTTTTTTATGTAAATATCGTATGTAAATATTTGCATTCGTAAAGATTGAATCTTTCAGAACAAATGCACAGAAATAACGATAGATTGTTATTTCAATTATATTTTTTTCATCTCAATTATTAATTTTAAATTACAAAAATATTATAACCAATAAATTGTGAAAAATTATTATGGGCAGATTGAAAGGAAAAGATTATTTGTACAATAAATTAGCAAGTTAACGTGAATTACATCTACATAGAATAAATTATAAATTATTGTTTGCCAATAAATTTTTATATAATAAACGATCGCCCAAGTTTTAAGTAATAATTGAGAGTAATACTTACATAAATTTGTATTAATAAATTAATTATTCCAATCTAATTATATAGCCTTTGATTTACAAATAAAACACTGTAAATAAATTTATTAGATATCTACTTTATAATAATTTGGAATTTGCTCGTATTGAATTTTCAATTCAGTTAAATAAATCTGACATTATAAAAAGTGCAAATATTTAACGTAAAATTAAAGTGTTTAAATGGAAATTTTCAAACGATTATTAAAGTTTTAAAATTAGATATAAATAATTATAATCTCATCAATGTAACAACTGAAACGAAAATGATAGTCATTTTGTAAATTTTTTTGTACAAGAATGACACGAAAGTAAATGAATCTAACTACATTAAAAATATCTTACTTCCATAATATTCCATGAAAATCATTACATTTATAATTTTCTTTTTAACTCCATGATTATCGAGTTAATATTTTACTAAATTTTGATCAAGTTTTCGGAAAGATGAATTTATAAATTGAATTTTGGATTTTTAACTATTTCAATTAATTCAGTACAAGTTAGGTATGAATATTATTGAACTTCATTAAAATTATTTAGATATAGGAGTTAAAAATTTTATAATTAAAATATTGCACAAAAATTAAATTTTTCATCATCATTCATATTTTTCATTCCTAATTTCGATTTTTTAATGTAAATAGAATAAATCAATATGATTAGGAGTAGAAATTAATATTTTGCAAACTTTTAATGTACACGAGATTACCAATTTGTTATCTAATTTTATAATTCAAAAAATATATATAATTCGAAATATATATAATACGAAAAACAAAAAATAAAAAAAAATAAAAAAAAAAAATAAAAAAAAAATAAATAAAACAAGATATAATTTGCATTTAATTACTTAGCATTAAAATTATAATTTTCGATTCTAAGAAGAGATAATAATTATAAATATATTTTCTTGAGAATTATAATTTTGTCATTAAATTTGCTCTATTATATGATGTTGATTTATCAAAATTCATAAATTATTTATACGTAATTTTAATGTTTCTAAATAATAATCCTAAATTTAACTAACTCGCAGTAATGATTGTCAATATTGGAAATCATTACACGTTGAAGCATATTTATATTTATTTTTATATTATTAATATAACTACAGTTAATGTTTACAGAAATAAAAATAATGCATTATCTATATTGTTTTTATAATCACAACGGAAATTCTCGATCAACTATACTGTCTGTAGTAAAATTTTGTAAATATTTTATGATTTATTTAAATTATTTAATCAATTGCCACGTGTATTTTGTGCAAAGTTATACATAATATTATAGGAACTATCCAATACTTACTTAATAACTTGATAACTAAATATACATTGTTCATATATAATAATGAAGCAGATAACAATGAAGCAGAAAATGATTGAAAAGTATGAAATAAACTTTAGACTTTACACTCGAACAATCCTTTTAATAATGTTATTTTAATAATTTTAAGAATATCAA